TGAGTGTGGGTTAGGTTATTTATAACCTTCCCCTTTTAATCTCACTCGTCCATCACGATTTAACATGGGCCGTCCGATCGCGATGCGATCTGGACCGTCCGTACATGATTCAATCTGGGCCGTCCGTACGCGTGAGATTTGGGCCGTCCGTGCGCGTGAGATTTGGGTCGTCCGCATGCGTGAGATCTGGACTATTCGATCGCGTGCACGCGGATCGCCCACGTGGCTCCGTCCCGCGTGGCCTCCCGCGTCAGTGTACGCAGCGTGTCCTGGTTGGCTGGGGCTGCTAACTGGGCTGCTGACGTGGCACAACTTTTCTAAATTGCGTTTTGGCCTCCAGTTTTCGATTTTCTTTTCAAAAATACCCCCAGAATCCAAATTTTCACACTTTTTTTCTAAAATCATTTTCAATTAATTCCCAAAAATAATTTTACCCATTTTTATCATTATTATTATTTTTATTTCTCTTAAATTAAATTAAATTAAATTACAACCTTATAAATTAATTAATAAATAAAATCAAATCAAATAAAATTCCTTACTAAAATAAAAATAAAGTTTTTTTTTTTTTTTAGTGTTACATAATCAGTAGGAGGGCGGTGAGTAGGTGTCTCCCGGATCCTATTAAGAGATAGTGGAGGTTAACCTTCCTACAATATTTATTTACTATTTTCATATGTTTATTTCATTTTTTTATGAACCGGTATGAAATTGACATTTCTGTAACCATATTGGGCATTCTAATTTATAAGTAAAGAATGTAAACTTTAGCTTTATTATACGCTAACGCATCTTTAATTCAAATTTATTTTACCCAGAGTTTTGGGTCTTTACATCAGTAACTTTAATAATTATACTTTTACAAGTTGTGAAATTTTATATTGTTGTATATAATTGTAATGTGTGACTTTGATGTGTATATGAAATAAATATTTAAATAATAAATATTGAAATTTTTTTAAGTCAATAATTTTTATTCAAATATTGAGAAGGTTATAAATAAGATGAACAAAAGTAAATGTCTACTAATCAATTCAAAGAAGTGATGATTAATTAGGTAAAGTGGTTTTGTCACATTTCCATTCATCAAATAATTAAGGTAAGCAAATTGAGAAAAATAAAAGTAGACATGCTGTGGCATGTGGGTGATGGTATCTTTTTTGTGGCTGAAACTTAATTGATGTTGATGTTTATAAAAATCATGTGGTCACATGATTATGAGCCCCAATCTGGTTTCTGTGTCACCATCAAATATTTAAATTTTTTGTTAATTTGGTAATAATTAAATTAATTAACTTGAATTATTCAGTTAAGCCATTTGTTAAAATATTAAAATAATTTAATTATCTTTTTTTTTTTTTCTTAAAAAATTAAAAAATTTTGAAAAATATTATCGACGAAATTATAATAAAAAAATACTGAAAATCAAATTATGATAATATTAAAATTCAATAATTAATTCAATATTTTGTCAAATACTTAACGGTAGCAATTACATAAAAAGATTGTGTCATAGATAATTTTAAATTTATGGATTACGTATAGAAAATAATGCCAAAATAGACTAAATGAAGGCCCACTTAACAAAAACCCATAAAGAAGGATTTGATTATGTTTTATTGTTTTTGAATCACTTGTATATATTAAATTATAATTTAATATATATTAAACTTAATTAATAAATGTTCTTTATATATAAAAAAAAAAAAAAAAACTAAATTGCTATTCTGTAAAATATATAGCATAGATAAAACTATAGGCAAGCAAGTTTTATATAATTTATATGTTTTTTGATGCAGAAAAAAAAAAAAAAGTGAATATTAAGCAAAACTCTCTTCAATTAAGATTTGAGTATGAAATATTTAACTTTTTTTTTTCATAAATATTATTGAAGTTAAATTCATTTTCAAGCATTTTTTTTTAAGGATGTACTTTGAATATATAATACCAAATGGTCAAATAAATTATACTTATATTAAACTATAGACATGACATCTATAATTTACCTATTTTTATTGAAGATTTTA